CATACAGTTCAGAAGTTCGTTGAACTTCATAGAGTTCAGATCACTCAGCACGATGTTCGTGGTTTGACTTATCGAGACCATTTTCTAAGATGGCTCCTGTCTGTATACGCGAAGTGAACTGTCTTCATAAAGTATCTTCTTATTAAACGGTCTGTACACTTACAAAGTTCTCAGTGCTTCGTTTTGCATGTAGGGAGCCTCATTATGTTACTGCGTTAGTGTGGGGCTATTTTGAGCCTTTTTAGTGGTATAAACTAGCGATTTCTTTTTACTTACTCAATGCCCCCATATACTAGGATTATACGCTAAACAGTTTTTAGAGATAAAACTCTTTACATTCGACTATCATGAAAACAAATCTCAGAGAACGGTTGACTATGTACCGATGTTTTATTAGACCAAAGGTTCATTGTTCGCCGGAGTTCTCCTTTAGGAGGGGGCCTATAAGACGTTGTGCCCAGGGCCCTCTGAACTCCTGATAGGGTTAGGATTGGGTTGCATGTAATTATGCATAAGTTACTGTTATTACTATGGTAAGGACATGTAACATATGTAACAAGGACACTGTAAAATAAAGTGTTATTTCTTGCCCATGATTGTCGCTCTTTTACTTCTGACAAATGGGATCTGAGGCTTTGGAGCTTCGTAATGAATCACCATAAAAGTTCCCTCATAAAATAAAGGTTTTTTTGCAGTGATGCCATTGAAGAATCATGTATGGTTCCTCAAAGAAGCTCTCAGTGAACAGCTATTAGAAAACCACAAAGGATCATTTGAATAATCTGAAGAACCTTTTCCACTGTAAAGAGTCATTTAAGGATCATCGATGCCGATACAGAAGAGTCACGCTGAGCTTGTGTTGCTCCTCTTGCTCATCACTGAACTGGATCTGATTCTGAACAGATCATCTTTCATGGTGTGTGAACTGACTCGCTCACAGACGGTTCGTTCTCAGATTTGATCCTGGATGTCGAGATTTAATCACACAAATCCTAGAACACTATAGTAATATAAGTCACGTACTCGGCTTTATTAAAGCTTTATGGTACACTCTGAGCGGATGAATATTGTGGTTGATGTGCTTCGGCTCTGAGCGGATGAATATGATTCTCCTGCTCGATTGCTAAATGACAGTGAGCACAAAAGGAGCTACATTTGCAAAACTCTAACTCTAGTCTGCACTACCAACAGTCACTTGAGCTAAACACTTCACATGCAAAACTCATTCCAAGCAACACAACTCTTAACACACACTCAAAACAGGCTCACTCCGCACAACCCTCAACACACACTGTCACTCAGAACCAGAGCCTTCGCAAGGGCTGTGTGAACTGTGCAACCGCACAGGGCCTCTCACCACTAAGGGGGCCTCAATCCAGCCAGGTTAAAAAATTGAATAAAACGGAAAAAAAGTCGAATGCAAAGTTTGCAAGCAACAGTTTGCATATCGCTGCTCGACTACAAACATGGCATTTCACGGAAAAACGGTGAGCTAAAGCCTAGTTCACACTACATGATTTTAAGCCCGATTTGCAAATCGTTGAGCTCGCCGACAGGTCAGGGTGTTATCGCGTGCAAACCGCAGGGGGATTAGCGGGCGACGAACGCTTGCCAATCTGTCAGTATGAAAGAGCCAGCAATGCATCAAAGACGCTCGCAGACGCCTCACAGACACGTCGCCAAGCCCAGAAAAATATCTAGCATGCTAGATATTCAGAGCTGTCGAACGACTCAACCTCAGTGATGTCATGAGCTACAGCCAATCGACGGTATTGCACTGTATTTGTTTTGAACCAGTAAAAAAAGTTAATGATCTCCATATGGGTGATTATCCGCTTATCATTATTTAATCTACCCACAAACTAAATTTACACTCAACAGATTTCAATGTTATACCTTTTAAACATTTAAAACATCTATTCGTGTCTCAGCCTTGAAGCTTTGCATTTCAAGTTCGCACAGGGCCTCGCACCCCACCTATGACGGCACTGCTCGGAACACACTGAGAGTAAAAACACTAAATACAAACTTTTCACCTTTACAGTTTGAACAATTTCAGTGACTGTAGTAGTAATATTTTCTTCAAAGAAAAGAGTGACATTCTTTCACATGATTTATTTACATTTTTTTCAATCGCTAACATGTGCTTACCCATACTTTAGATACTTTTTCTAAACTCTTAACACAGACTCAAACCTACAAAACAATTGGACAAATGGATAATTTTCTTCTCAAAAACACATTTTGTTAAATATATGCTAACTCTTCATTTCAAAACAGAACACATCTTTCTCTGCACACACTAACTTGACCAAAACACTGGAAATTCTGTCAAAGAATAACACTTGTTTTCACTTCACATGGTACATGCAGTCAAAGTACACCAGGCTTCAAAATACTGGATATTGTTGACATTACAAAAACTGCATAGACTTTGATGTTTCAGTTTTACACATATTTACATGCAAAACATCCAATCCACCGTTTTACACTATAATTCTTGGTTTTGGTGACTGTATGTCCACATGTACAGTAATGTTCACATTCAAACAGATTCCAGTAAAAAGTAAATCAGTGTTTAACCTCTCCCTGCATCTCTCACTGCATCTCTCACTGCTCACTGCTCCTGCACCTCTCGCTGCATCTTTCACTGCACCTGCACCTCTCACTGCATCTATCACTGCACCTGCATCTCTCACTGCAACTCTTACTGCATCTCTCACTGCATCTCTTACTGCTCCTGCACCTCTCACTGCATCTCTCACTGTACCTCTGCACCTCTCACTGCATCTTTCACTGCTCCTGCACCTCTCACTGCATCTTTCACTGCTCCTGCATCTCTTACTGCATCTCTCACTGCATCTCTCACTGCACCTCTCACTGCATCTATCACTGCTCCTGCTCCTCTCACTGCATCTTTCACTGCTCCTGCATCTCTCACTGCAACTCTTACTGCATCTCTCACTGCATCTCTTACTGCTCCTGCACCTCTCACTGCATCTCTCACTGCATCTATCACTGCACCTGCATCTCTCACTGCACCTGCACCTCTCACTGCATCTATCACTGCACCTGCATCTCTCACTGCAACTCTTACTGCATCTCTCACTGCAACTCTTACTGCATCTCTCACTGCATCTCTTACTGCTCGTGCACCTCTCACTGCATCTCTCACTGCACCTGCACCTCTCACTGCATCTTTCACTGCTCCTGCACCTCTTACTGCATCTTTCACTGCTCCTGCACCTCTTACTGCATCTTTCACTGCTCCTGCATCTCTCACTGCATCTCTCACTGCACCTGCACCTCTCACTGCATCTCTCACTGCACCTGCACCTCTCACTGCATCTCTTACTGCATCTCTCACTGCACCTGCACCTCTCACTGCATCTCTCACTGCACCTGCTCTTCTCCCTGAGCCCATTGTTCTTACTCTTTCTTGTCCACACATTGCAGTGTTTGTCTTTTTCTGTTTCCAAAAACATTACTCCTCAAAGTCCTCCTTTTACTGTATAAGTGTCAATGTAATAGAAAAAATAACCCCTGCCAGTGAGTCTAAGAAGCCAGACTAAAAACAGCTGTGGTTGGCCCAATTTACCCAACATAAATACGCTGTGGGTCAATTATTCAATTATTTGTTTATTGTCAGTTGAGATATATTGTTTTTGAACTGATATTATTGCAGAAGCAGATGTTTTTATATTGTATCTAAGGTTTGGAATATTCTTTTTGCTATTGTGGGATGGTGTGTGTTAACATTTGTAAATACTACAAAAGCAATCCATAATTTTGTTGGGAGGTATAGCTTCTGTTAAGAACATGTAAGAATTGTGGAAATGTGTTCACTGACTGCATATTGTGTGAAAACGACATGAAATGTGTGAATGGTATGGGCAAAAAGGCTGATGTTGTGCTTAGAGTTTTGAAAATGTGACTGGTTAGAAAAACAAAAATAT